ATTTGCGTTTGTAATGTCTGTGTCAATTGAAGTAAAAAGTATCTGATAGTCTGCAGTTAGTTCTTCAGATTATAGCCCAAACTGATTTTAGCTATAGTTTAATTATAGAAAGTTAGCAGCCACTTCTGAAAAAAAAAAAAAATTAGCTATATCTTGCTGCAGAGATGGAAATCCATTAAAGAAGAGCAGTTGGGTGTGGACTGGATGAACGGTTGTTGGGGAGGAACCACAGCATTGTTGTAGGATAAGTTCTTGCCACAGGGGGCAAGAGTGGATCCTTGTTTAAGTGCATTACCTTGGTTTTTTAGATAGCAAAGAAGATACTTTACTGCAGAGTGCACTATGCAGGCTCTGACATGCATCTAGACATAAATGCTGAACAAAGCTAAATGCTCACATTAGCGTAGTTGGTTCTTCATTTACAGCTTTTTTTCCTGTGGGAAAGGGGGTTGGGGAAGGAATTGTTGAATATGCAAAAATGCTTGAAGTGTTTTTGGTTTCAGTAAGATGAAGGGTAGTGCTTACTGTGCAGCAAGTATCCAAAATGAAAGGAGGGTGCTGAACTTTATAATTATCCCTCAGTCTATACCATGAAGTCTGAAAAAGTTGCATGTTAGAACATGCAGGCATTTAATGAATTTCAATTTGCAATTTCATTTCTGTTGCCATTCCTGAAAGATACAGCCAGTGTTCCAAGAATACTGAACAAGTCACCCAGTGAGTGTTAATGCAGCCTGCTATGTCTAGTTCATTTCTAGTACAAGTATATTTAGACACACATACATATTTTGTAAAGTAATTTAGGCTGCCAGAAGTTCTAACATATTGTCTCTCTGGTAGAGCATAAAACAAAAACATGTTTAACCTAATATCTATCAAAAAGCTCAAGTTTTATAGTTATAAAATATTTTAGTTGCTTTCAATTTAAACATATGCTTGAATGTATTCTTTTTTACATTTGTTTCAATTTCCTGAGTAAGTGTACGTTTCTAAATCCAAGACTAAGATATGAGAAGCCTTAATTGATCTGGGAAGCTCTATGTTCTCATGTGATACTCAGCTGTGCTGTTTGATGTATGTAATGTCTAATTTTCAGCCCCTGCCTCTGCCTGTGGAATTTTACTCTTTACTTTTCAATGTATTTGGAGCATTTATAACAGAGTAAATACTGTGGTTTGCATAATAAAACTGTTCCAGGTTTTTCTAAGCAGAGTGTTTTGGTACATGCGTATGTAAATTTATCTCCGTTGTGTGTAGAAAATAGTATTTGTGGGGGTTGTTTGGTTGGTTGGTTTGTGTCTCTTAATGAGGTAGCCATTTTTGTGGCAAATCTTGCTAGATCCATGCTGGCAAGAAGCTTTTAAGAATCCCCTAAGGGCATGTTTATATTCTTGCAGGTTTATTTATAAGATAAGCGGTAGTTATCTATTCGAATTACATATGTTAATTCTAAGATGCAAAGCCCCTACCTGCTTCAGTAAGTGAACACCAGTTGTGGAACCATTGCTGTGGAAATTAAATTTCAGGTACCAGCTGTTATTGTTGTATGAAGGAAATGCAAACCTCACTATTGAGTAGGAGTTACTGAACGTGCAATCTGGAACAGTGTAAAATCAATCACTGGGAACTTGTGAACAGTTAATACAGAGGGGGTTTAATCCCATTCTTCCTATTATGTAGGAAAATAATACTTGTCATTTCAAGAAAACAAGTGCAGGAATTCCTCTCTTATCCTGAATAGACATAATTTGCATCTGAAATTCAAGCACCTCCACAAAGAAGTTTGAATGTAAAAGCATGTATTTGAAGAAACAGGTGCATTCAGATAATCTGCCCAGATCTGTACAAACTCGGTTGGTTTTGACAGGTGGTTTATTATCTTCCTGTTTTATGACTTCTCCTGTCATTGCCCGTAGCTGTGTTTAGGTTTGACTCACCCAGGTGTGCTGCAGGACAGAAGAGAAGTGAAAACAAAATCCAAATTCATTGGATTTATTGGTTTAGACACCAGATTCTTGGTGTGCCAGTCATTTTAGACATTGTCTTTCATGGCTTTCTATATTTCATGATTTCTGCTCTTAAGTGTGTCACACTTTTGAATTAATCACCGAAGTTTGCGTAGTCATAGTCTATGTATTTTAAATGTCTTTTCATGTAAAGATGTGTTGCTAGTAACTAAAAGCCTATGATGTATTATAATTTAGCTATCAGTATTGACATTTAACACCACTTATTTAGCACAGTATAGCTTGTTTTCTTTAGGTTAACATGCAATGGTTAACTTCTGTATTGAATTTTCCCCTTTTGTTTCATGTTCTCCACTCCCCTCTACATGTCATTTATTAAGGTGTTACTACTTTGTTACATCTTAATAAGATGCACCACGCAGTGCTGCTGTTGTGACTCATCTGGTAGTTAGGTGAAGTGTAAACTGGCTTATAAAACTGTCTGTTCTGGAAGTAAAATAATAGCATACTTTTCAAATGTTTAAAAATAATTCTTCTCAATCCAGGATGTTTGCATAGCAGTTAAATACCATTGAACCTCAGTTTCAGTCTTTTCGCAAATACTTTTATGTTAAAAGAGTCCTAGAAAAGAGGTGTGCTTTAAACAGGAGAAAATATAACTGTCATTCTTTTCACTTCACTTTCATCCTCCTGCTGACAGTACTGTATTTCTGAAATTACCTAGTAGGCGCTGCTGCTGGCTGTGCGATGTGCCTGGACTGTTAGTCTTCAAGTTACTTGAGGCCCTCTATGGGTTGCCTGTCCTCAACTATTAAGGCCAAATACGGGGAAATGCTTTATCCCCTTTTGTTTTAACAAAAAGAATTACAGTGCCACTGGAGCTGCTGTTTGTATTGTGTGGGACGTTAGAGTAACGCAAGCGCTGCACATGTAAAGCAAAAAGGGCTCCCCGAGCTTTACAGGGATTACAGAACAGCTAGCCAGTTCCTGGGTGGAAGTATTTTTCATATCACAAAATTGCTGATGTAACTGGCACCCTTACCAGCCTTCCTCTGTATAAAACAAACAAAACAGAGAGGGTGCTTGCCTTCTCGCCCGCACTCTTCAGATCAGAACAGATGATGGGAAAGCACAGAGCAGAGAAGCTGGCTACGCTCCCAGTATATCTGTTTAGCTGATAAGGAAGACTTTTTTAGGGCTGTCGGTTGGCTTCTTTCACTTTTGCCTTTGAATCACCTCATGGTGTATTTTTAAAAGTATTTATGGTGTTGCTTTGACAGAGAGGTGTGTTTGTGAGGGTTACAATCTATGGGCTTTGTTTTCACAAATTGGAGTTGGCTAGACAGAGATGGACTATCAGTCTGAACTTCGGATTTCTTGCTTTTTGCCAGCTTGAATCATACCATAAACTCTATTCAAAGATTTTGGGTTTTGTATTTATTGTCCACATCCTTGACCCTGACTGGTGAGCTGGACATTTGCGTTTGCCTTGGCAAGCTCCAAGCTGCTCATCTATGGCAGGATGAAAACTCTTTTTTCCTTTTGTAAACAAACTGTTCCTTCAGTATTTTCCATAAGGATTTACACCGCCATTTTGCAGCGCTTCTAGGAATTGAGAAAATCTTGCCTTTCAGAGTCTTCATTTTACACAGCTTGTATCACTGCATAGAAATATTTGATTTTATGAGTAATAGTTTTCTGAGATTGGATTTTAAGAGCTTTTTCCAGAGTGTTTTCAAATTCCAGAAATACTGCATTTTGTCTTGAAGGCAATTTTTAAAGCTATAGGTAACGTTCATTGTTGCCTGTCTGGAAATGGGGCTGTTTGTATTTTTTTATTTCTATCGCTGATGCATGTGCAACTGTGAACACCGCCCCATTGTACCAGACACTGTACACATGTAAAATACTTTTGTGCCCTGAAGTATTTACAGTCTAAATAACTGTTTGTGTTCTGTATTTCTTTGGATATATTTTAGTGGTCAGAATGTAAAATGAGAGAATAACTTAGCGGGCCACTTTATGCCAACATACAAATTATGTTTTGGAGCAAATGAACTGAATATAGTTTTCCACAGGGACAAAGGACTGATGCTGCTCCTTTTTTGTTAGGTCATTTGCAGTGAGGGACTCACGGTTCTGAGTGATGTATGCCATGGGAATGGCATTCTTGTTCTTGTAATCAAAAAGATTTGTCCAGCAGTGTTGCTGCTAATTTAGGCAAGTTTGAAATGCTCTAAGTCGGAGATGAAGTTTTATATATTATAAAATTGATACAATATTATTAAATGCAACTCAAAGCTGAGTACCCATGTTAGTCCTGATCCCAAGCTACTACAAGCCCTGCCAAGTGCAAAGAGGCTGTTTGCCATGAGCTAAATCTCAAAAAAAATCATAAAAAATGCTTTAAGAGCACCCACATCTCTCTGGAAGAAAAAACTTGTAGCGTATATTCAGACTACAATTATATTGTACTGCAGAAAAAAATCTGTGTAGTTTTAAAATTTCTTTAAACAATAGGAAAGTCCAAATTTCCATATAATTTTTCATCTTTATGCTGCTATTTGACATATAATATTTGAGTGCAAAATGAAGTCTTGGACATCAATTAGTTCTTCATGAATATCTTGAAAATTTTCAGCAGTGTTTAGTGAAGTATGCTATTTGTTGTAAGTTGTTATCCAGATTAGGTATGGGCCAATGAGTCAGCAAACCAACCAAAATGGCTGGATTTTGGTTTACAGCTTACTGTAAATGATAATAAATAGCAAATAATGAAACTTCCAGTACAGGAACAAATGGTGAAAAGTGTATGTTAAAAAATACCCCCAAAGTTACAAATAATGAATGGTGTGTAGGTTGTTAACAGAAAGGAAAAATACTGAGTTTTATGTAAAGCTCTATTGATGCTAGTCAACAGTCCATAAATGTTATTTATTCTTCCTTTTAAATAGTAATATTAATTTTATAAAGGTATATTAAAAGCATATTTGAACTCCTCAAACTAAAATTACACTTCCTTTTTTGTTGCAGATCTGGGACATGAGTGATGATGAAACAGTCTGAAAATCAGCTGAATAAGGTGGAAGATGACCTACTTTGGACTGCAGTGCTGCCTTTTATCTGTTGCTTGACAAGTTAATGATTGCTTACCCATTCTGACTGCTACAAATAAAAACAAATATAATCCACATATTGACATTACTATCTTCACCTTAAAAGCAGTCTGTTATGGATAGGATTCTCCACGTTTTCATTTTTGTTATGTAAATAACTAAAGCAATCTGGGTATGTTTAAACCTCATATTTTTTTCCTTTTTTTTTGTTTCTAAATATGGCTTACATATAAAATGTGCTGCTTAAGTAACCTTCAGTGTTTTATGTGTCCCAGTTTTTATTTTGCTTTGTCAATGGACATGTCCAAGCAGCATGTCGAAATGCTTTTTTTCATCTTTCCCAAATTTATGGCCCTGTAGTTGGAATTTATTATTAAGATAGAGAATATTCTACTGTGGAAAGTTAAACTGCATCTTTAAAGGAGAGGTGGAGTAGGTAAGAACTTACACCTACTGCCTACGCCACATTGCTTGCTGTTTCAAATTACATTTTTGTAGTACAATTGATTCCCTTTTCTTTGTTACAGTATGATTGTTCTTGCCTGTGTCAATGGAGGTATTATTCTCTGTAAAGTTCTCATAATTTCATGCTATGGAAAAAAAGTGGTTTGACTTACATTTACACAGGAAAGACCAAAGTGCGTTGGTAGTATCATTAGACTCCCCTGAAGTTTAGAGAAGGCTCTGTTACGTAGTAAAAATTGGTTTGGGGGGAGGATCATTGATTCAGTCAAAACTTGTAGAGGAACACTTAACTGAAATAAGAAATTGCTTCTCTAAGTTTGCTGTTCTTGGGTGCTGTCATGCAGTACTTTACAGGTGTTAAAAAAGAGCAATTCTGATTTTCATTTGGGTGGGATTTTAAGTTTTTCAATTTTTTCAGCATCAGGAATGGCTTTGGAGATTATGGCTGAGCATAAACAGTAGTTTGAGAATCCTTCAGTATAAAAAATAGCTTGAGAAAAATGGATTTGTAATATATCAAAGTACATTACTACAAAATTGAAAGTGAATCTATTGGTTTTTATCTTGGAATAGGTTTTAGAAGTATATATTTTTCCCATATATATTATGAAAATTATTCGGTCAATCCAATTATTTTAGTTCCTTCCTTAACCTAAGCTCTGAATATGTGATGTAGATAATTTCACAGCTTCTCTCTTATGCCACATCAGACGAAGTTCTGTCAGGTAAAATTTGCCTAAAACCAAGGTTATCTGCAACTCCCATACTCCGATCACAAAAGAAGATATATTGAAACATTCTGAGCTTTGCATCGAGTGTCTAAAATAGCTATAATTTCTATTAATTTTAACTATCATATTCATTACATTTACATTATTTCTTCAGTAGCCCTAAGGGAATGTCTCATTTAGCTGTCTTCATTGTAATATAAAAATATATATCAATCAAATATATTTTTTGAAAGACTAGTAATCATAGGAAACTGATCTGTTGGTGGTCAGCTAATGAACAATAAGACTGATAACATGCCACGTCCATTTTACAGCAGTTTGTTAATGTACATAATTATTTATGAGCTCAAATGACTTCCATTTTGTTAGCCATGCTGTAGTCCCTCCAGAACTATGAATCAGTACTCGGGTAGTTTAAAGGGAGTGATCTGTATTTTTATCTTTCAGAGTTGCTGACCGTGGAGTGTAAAAGTATCTTTGCAGTTTTTGTTTATCTAAAATGTGAAAACTAGACATATTTCTGAAATCTGATAAACATTAATAATTATTTTAAATATCTGAAACTCTGCTTATCCTGTTCCTTACATCGTAGCTTTACACGGAAAGTATCTGTTTAACTGCAGAAGTGTACAAGATGGAAAGGTTCAAAACTCAGGGTTAATATAATGTTTCCTTACCTCTGTAATTTCAGTAACATACAAGTCTCTTAGGCTGAGGTGTTTCCTGTACATATGCTTCCCAGATGTCTCTGATGTTCAGAAACACTTCAGTTTGACTTGGAATAACTTCCGTTGTCTAACTATAATGTTGTTTTCTTTCTCCTTGCGGAGCAGAATTGCTCTTATTTTGCTTTTACTCAATTTCTAGGCATTTACTGAGTGAGAAATCATGAGAATTTGTTCAAGTGAATGAATGTGTATTCAAATATTATTAACAGATAAACACATTTATTTACTGGCTTGTATGCACTTGATGGCAGGATTTCAGCACAGTCCTCAGCTCCAGTTATTGCTGTTTAATGGAAGAAGCTAAACTTTGACCTTTCTTCATGAAGGAGGTAGGATTTAAATTTTATTTGTGTTGCCATGACCTCCTAGGCATCAGTAAAGAGCCCAGACTCATACTTCCATTGTAGAACCCAACAGCTACAATGGCTCTTCAGGAATAAACCAAATCTGTTGGGAAGAGGAATGAACAGCCTCAGAGGAACCTACTCATCTTCCTAAACTATCTAAGAGGAATGTAGAGGCATTATATGGCAATGTGAGTGGGACCATATCTCACAGGAGGCAACTATGACAGCTACGTATCAGATCTGGGGAGTCATCTAATAGTGTTAGACCACAGATCTCAATGGAATGCTGTTGGCATAATTTTTGTGCTTGAGTACTACAGAAATACATGGAACCATAGCCTCTGTCTTGCTTTCACACTTGTACCAACTAGAATTTTTCTTCGGTGCGATCACTTCAATGTGTTTGCTGACTGCAGTCTAGAATTTGTTATGGAGTACCACCACATTCATGGAAGTGAGGAACTTGAGATTCTGTATGAGAGTTTTCTTCTTTAGAGCCTTCACTTGCTCTCATCCTTGCTTTCACAATCTACTGTTAAATTCTCTTTACCTGTGTTGTAGTCTGTCAATCGGGAATAAATTTCACTTAGGGCATGCCCTTTATATGATGTGTAAGTTGTCTTAGTGCCATTAAAGCCAGCAGAATCATAGCCAATAGATGATTCAGCCTTCAGACCACATGAGAATCTGTTCCATGGAGCATGGAGCTAGTTTGAGTCTTAAGCCTTCAATATTGGGCTCTACAAGGGAGAAATGGCACAAATTTGAAAATGACACTTAGATCCATGAAGTAAAATTCATGATGGCCCAGACATGTTGGACCAGAAAATCACCAAGGGGTGGAACTGTAGGATTTATATCTCTACAAAGCTGATAACTCCAAAGGACTAAAGGGAGATTCTGCTTAAGCAGAAGTCAGCAGGACAATAGTTATTGTGGCACATGAAAGGAAACTGTAGTGGTTGCTCCAGCCCTTAAAATCATTGAGCTTGAACCTGAAAAAACACTTTTCCCTTGCCGGTGTTCTGTATGGCTTTGGTATTGTGTCCTCAGAGAAGTTTAGTGACATAAACAAAAATTTCATTTTTGTCATCTTTGATATTCCATTTGCTGTATAGTGTTCTTTCTAATGCTTTTTCTTTGTATAAGATTCGGCTACTCACCGTAAGTATATGCAGCAGAATTATTGGCAAAATTGAGTAATTTTTCCATATATAAGGATTTTCTTTTAATTTCGCACTTACGCTTTCATAGAGAACTCATACTGAAAAGGGTTTTCTGTATTTCTGAACTTCTTGGTATGCACTGTAGAATCATATCATAGCACTTGTTTCTCCCTCTTACTGAATCAGTTTCTTCTAAATGTATGTTAACTAGTCTAATTGGAATTGCTAATAGCTGCTTCATCATTGCACTGCTCTGGGGCAGTGTTGGGCCATGAAGAGTTCACCCAGCTCCAAACTTTCCTGTGAGCTTTCTTCCTCTTTTTTAAGCCAAATCATAAGAACAGTGAGATTGCTGAGATGTGACCGAGAAGAGACTTTGGTGTGCAGGATTCTCATTAATGCCAGTAATGTGTGAAAAGATCACTAAGCTTCTGATACCAGCTTTTGTGCTGCTGATCAAGAACAATTCTGCCTGTTTCTTACAGAATCGTTATGAGCCATGACGGAATCCGTGAGGATATTTTTATATAGTTTCTCTTCAGAGTATCTTAAGAGTTCAAGGAGAGTCCTAACTCTCTGTTCTTATGGGAGTAGGAAGGATAGCTCACATTCTTTCAAAAATAAATATGTTGCAAGCTAACACATAGTCAGCCTTTTTTGTCAGTCTGCCAGCTATGCTACAGCACACATCCAGCCAGTGCTCTGACAGTGCAAATAGCCATTCTTATGCTGTTCCCTGATTCAGTGTTTGCTGTGCTGTAACTTTGCATTGAGAGTACACAAAAGCTGAAAAGAGCATGAACAGCTAGATAGTGGGATTTTTCCTTGCTACTTTTCCAAATTTTTGTACCCAATTTTTTAGTTTTTGGTTTGGGTTGGGTTTTTTTAATAATAATGCAATACATTCCTTAGAAACAATTAAGCAGTTATACTCCAAAGAGAGCCATTAAAGAAATATTTGCAACATGGTAAACTGTAGTGGACTTCCTAAGAAACATAGTCTGGAAGATGTCCAAAGCCTGTATCCATATTCTCTGTTCTTTCTGAATCTTTTGACATGGCTTCATTAATGTCTTTTCTTCTTTATTTTTTTTCTACCACACTGGAAGGACTTTGGACTGTCCCAGTCTGGCAGTGTGTAAATTCCTAACCTATGGAAAGCCTACCTACCTGTCAGATTTCAGTACCAGTTCTCTTTCCCTTGCACCTGCCTGGACTTTCTCCAGAACACTAACAGTGTTTAAAAATACTGTGGCACCACACAGGTAACGCTTTAGGTTTGAATTTAATACAAACTTTCCCTATCATCATTTCAGCTATCCAGTGTGATAATTTTTAAAAAGTTCATTTTCTTATTTGTGCAGCACCGGACACGTTTTGAAATAAAACCCCCTAACGATTTGTTGATGGTGTTTTCAGTCTCATCTTGCTTTTATTGATAACCTTTGGTCCACCACCACTGACAACAGTGACTCCTCACAGTGAGCAGTGATTGACAGAAGGGCAGACTGCAGGACTCCTTGCTTTGTGGCAGCACAGAGAGGTTCACACTCCCTGCTTTTTTTCTTAAACTTTAATTCCTCACCTGTAAAACATATGGAAATTGGATATATGTACTTGGCAAAAAATATCTATTTTTTTCATGCCTGGTTATCCCAGGTCAAAGAAACTGGTCTGTTGCTCTAACCCATTGTTTTGTTGAAGTGTTGTTGAATATTGTTTGAAGTCATGTAGTGTTAACCAAAATAGGCTGTGGCTTGGGCTAATTTGTAGCCACTTTTCTCTGAAGTACAGTAGCTGAAGTTCAGCAATCCATATTCTTCCACCAGGCAATGACTGGTGTTTTGTTCAGGTTGTAGTGAAGTCTTTTGAGTGAGTCACTTGAGGATTATTTCAACCTGGCCAAGGAAATTGGCACTGTGGAAGGGAAACTGAAGCTACTCCCAAAAGAATTAATAGCAATAAGCTTGAGTAGCAAAGATGTTAATTATCTTAAGGTAGTCCGTATCTTGGGGCAGCAAATTTTTCACGTAATTTCCCAGTTCAGATGATCTCACCCCAGAATAAGGATGTAGATGAGTACTCCAGCCATCTGTAATTTCAAGTTCTAGCTGTTGCCCTCAATAATTGACAATATTATCGGCCTGTTGCAACTTAACCATAGCATTTTTTTTTTTTTTCAAATCTGGTGGTATTATGTAGGACATTCTCTGAAAAGATTTTCAAAACCTGTCAGCTGTTTGTCTGAACTTTGCAGAAGAAATAGCGTGATTTCCTTCTGTTCAATCAGGCCAGTTCTCACTTGGCACTGTACCTTCTTGGAGGCGCTTCCTTGGGCTTGGGGATAAAAAGGGGCAGTCAGGAGTTCTAAAAACAAATGTGTTATGTTTCGTGGCTGGCATGGAGTACACACTGTCTTTCCATCTATTATAACCATCTAAATGCCTTTTTCCTCTTGTTCTTTGAATAGATGTTTACATAGGACACTGATATTAAAGTACAATGGGCTTTACCTCTGGAACTGAAGGTCACATGCACACGTGCATTTCATTTTAAATGCTGCAAATTTCAAATTACTTCTTAATATTTTAGTAAGCTAACAGGAAAAGGCAGAAGCATACAAATGGTGCTGTACTGCTGCAAATCAAAAGCACAATTTAAAAATAATTGTTCTTTGTAACTTCTTCCCTTTCCCATACTCTCTGTTCTTTCTTAGATTCTTTGGCTGTGGATTGCTGCTTCAGTAGTCTTTGAGCATCCAAAAATTTAGGCTTCTGTGTAACTTCCGTTTGCTTTTTGGCACCGGGACAGTTGATTTTTGTAAGATCTCAGCAGAATGATTCATTGTTTGATTTGTTAGTGAAATACTATTACGCACTACCTAAATAAGAAAAGGGAGACATTATTCTGGTTTCACTGTTATGGAGGAAGTCAGCAGTGTTTTCCCCTTCTGGTCTAATGCGTGCACCCTCTTAAGAAACTGCAGTTGATGCATCCCTGCTAGGCAATGCTGCATTTGAAATGCAAGCTGGCGTCTCATTTCTGCAATGATTTTACTTTCTAAATCAAAACCAGTATGGGCTAAAACTGTTTGGAGGAATGCTACTAAAATTGTTTGTGTCATGTCAATAGGCTTGGAAGAAAGGCGAGGTTCCAATTCTGGCCCACTCTGCATGCATTTGAGCTCTAGTTTTTGACAGCTAGTAAACTGGTGTGTCGTGTGTCCTGTCCCCCCCCGCCCTTACTTCTCTCCCTGTATCTCCTCCCCACACCCAGTGCTCAGTGCCTCACTGGTAAGGGACAGATCTGGTTGAACAAGCAAATTAATTTCTAGTGACAGACGACTTTAAAATTAGCGTAAGAGGTGAGGAATTCTATAAAGTAAGTATGATTTTGCTTGGGGGTTTTGCTTTGTCTTTAAGTGTCTTTATTTTCATTTCATGCTTCAAAGTCTGACTTTTATACAGTACTTCTGTAGGTGTTACCACTTCCTCAGGAACCTGTGACTCAGGCAACGTATAAATGAAATGACATCATCAGCAGCTCTTGTTTGAATTGCCTGTTTCCTGAATAGGGACTGTTGGTTTTTCTTTTAATACTTGCAGCTTTGTTTGGTTTTTTTTTTTTTGTGAGGGGAGAGGGGATGAGGGCTTTTAATTATCTGAGGCAGCCTTGCCATTATGAGTAACCACACTGCATGTGTATTATCCTTCTGAATTGTTGAAATTGCCAGTATTGAAGTTTACTTAAAACAGGAGATCTGCACTTCTATGCAAGCTATTTATGAATGAAATAATTGTAATTAGGCATTAGTAGAGGTTCTGTTGTTATAGATCATTCTTAATTCACTCCTGATCTGTGGAGGGAGGGGGACAGGGGAGAGAGGGGGGGAGGAAAAGCTCTGAGCATAATTTTCCATTATTATTTTGGAAGTAATGCAAACAAAAGGAATGTGTTTTCATACTTTTTAAAATGGATCTCCCTTGCTGCTCTCAGTAGTGTGTATTTGCACCATAGGAGATTCTTGGTAGACTTCGGTGTTTCCTTTCCTGCAACTGATACTTTTCAATGATAATGCTATATAAATACATGGTTGAAATGGGAGGAGCCGGTGTAAAGTTTGGTTCTTTGCAGAGTGCCTCCAAAGCCGGCAGGAGCAGCGGTTGCAGCAGATAGGCATAGTATGGGGGGATGGGCAGCTGCTGCATCTGCATGTCTTCCTTGGACAGAACCTCCATGATGTCACTGCAGGAGCTGGCTGTGAAACCCTTGTTGAGAGTCACGTCAGGAATTCTTGTCATCAAAGGAATGCGACAAGTTGGACATCTGTCTAGGTCATTTATTCATAGTGTTCATGGACAGGCTATAAATGTGTTGCATTTATTTATTCTTGTAATGAGCAAAGGATCACCATTGTTTTGTTTAAATAGTAGCAGTTCTGGAACTCTGTAGAAATTAGTGCAGCAGAGATGCATCCTCTTGGTTGTGCATCGATTGTAGCGGTTCTCAATGGCAGTGCCATTGTGATTGCACTTTAAAGCTAAACTCAAATGAAGTCCATGGATTCAGGGAGATGGTAGCAGTGACTACCATAGGTAATGGTCTGTCTTCCGATTATGTCAGTCCATGTCAAACTTTGGCACTATTAAGAACCATGTAATTAAAGTTATTTTTCAGATGACACACTAAACCAAAATCCTAAAAAAAGGTTCTGTATCTCTTTGTTTTCTTTCTAATAATTTGGTTTTTTGGCTTTTTTTTTTTAATTTATTTCATCCTACCTTCCTAAAGTTGTTGTTCAGCTTCCTTTAGATCCTTCATTTTCTAAATTACCCTTGTGCAGGGGTTGTGCATGATTTTAATGAAAAACTCTTAATCATGTTCTACCCAGTGGCTATTAGAGCAATAGTTGTATGTTGTTATTGGTACTAAGTTGGGAATGCTTTGAGATGATAGATGGAACAAATGTGATAACATTACAATTACTTGGTCATGCAGGTATAAAGACAATTTTCCCCTAATTAAAATATTTACTATTGTATGTCTCTTGCATGCAGTTAGACAGTATCTGTGATTTTCTCTAGGGCAGTAGTTAGGAATGAGCGAGCTATACACACTCTGCCCCATGAGCCCTGCAGGCAGCAGCTGATGTACATCGTATGTAGCTAGATCCTTCTCACCAACTGCCTGCTACACGTATGTGACTACTGCTCTCAGAAATCCTGCGGTAAGGCGTTTCAATTACTTGCTAACTATATTTTCTTGAATAGGAATTCAGTAATGTTTAGCAGTCAAATATTACAAGCTTAAGACAGGCTTCTTTGTAACCACGCTCTGATTTGTGAGGGAGAAGCAGGGAGCAAGTCCACGGGTGTATGTACAGTGTTTCCCTGTTGCTGGAGATATCCTAGTTCCATTTCCAACAACAATAGTATCTGTTACTTAATTTAGTTTCCTGGTGGTACTATTTGGAAATGTCATTAAGGGATTCTGATAGATAACGTCAAGATATCCAATGCTTAAAAATCTGCTAGGAACAGAGAATGACAATGTACCTGTTGATCTGAGATACTGGAAGAGAATGGAGAAGAATGTGATTTAAGTGTCACCTTAGTGTCGGGGGGGGCTGACACTCATGCCACGAGGACAAGCAGCAAAAAGTTGTTTCAGAATGTGACCAAATTATTCTTTTTAAATTATTTTGTTACTATGGTAGTAGGTGCTTGTGGCTTCAGAAATTTTTTAAGCCTATACGTTATGTTTCAGCTCTCACAGTTTGGAGATTAATGTAATTAATTACTGTGGTTTTTAAAAATACTGCTATTTAAAAGCGACTTTGTCCTCTCCATAATAGTCATAGACATGGGAAGATGGGTTGAGGAAGGACACATGGGCTGTACCACAGACCTCCAGTGAAACCAAAGAAAGTCAGATCATCTCCACCTCCCATCCGTTGTCTGAACTTTGCTTTGGTTGAGTCTCTTTTGCCAAGTGCCTAGTACAGCAAGGCTAGTCTTGACCGAGTCAGCTAGGCAACAGAATAGTATAAGTATTAGAGATGATCCAGGTATATCGTATCTCTAACATCATCTATTGATGCATTTTAAGTTAATCAGTTTGGACAAGGAGCTCAGAAGTGGTTAGTGAAATTCATTTGCCTCAGTTTTTGGATGCCCAGCTTTTTTGGATGCTCTAAGCTAGACTTTGATCATGTCTAAAACTGGGTTTCAGAATTCTGAAAGGAGTCTGATTTCAAATGTAAAGACAATCTTACATTAAACATGTATTTTAAAAACTTAATGTGTGTAAAAGGATTAAATAAATCTGTTGTTAACTTTTAAACGCTTGCTGTTTCAGTTTTGCTCTTTCTTGCATGTATGCACTGGAAAATATGCTTACCAGGATGAGCATTAGGTTTTGTGTAACCAGTCAGCTAAAATAGTGAGTCACAAAAGAGCTCTGTTATTCTTGTGGAAAAAG